CAGCGCCGGGCACCCTCTGAGGGACATATAGTGCTACAGGTGACGTACAGCACCGGGCACCCTACGAGGGACGCACGGTGCTGCAGGGGACGTACAGCGCCGGGCACCCTCTGAGGGACATATAGTGCTACAGGTGACGTACAGCACCGGGCACCCTACGAGGGACGCACGGTGCTGCAGGGGACGTACAGCGCCGGGCACCCTCTGAGGGACATATAGTGCTACAGGTGACGTACAGCACCGGGCACCCTACGAGGGACGCACGGTGCTGCAGGGGACGTACAGCGCCGGGCACCCTCTGAGGGACATATAGTGCTACAGGTGACGTACAGCACCGGGCACCCTACGAGGGACGCACGGTGCTGCAGGGGACGTACAGCGCCGGGCACCCTCTGAGGGACATATAGTGCTACAGGTGACGTACAGCACCGGGCACCCTACGAGGGACGCACGGTGCTGCAGGGGACGTACAGCGCCGGGCACCCTCTGAGGGACATATAGTGCTACAGGTGACGTACAGCACCGGGCACCCTACGAGGGACGCACGGTGCTGCAGGGGACGTACAGCGCCGGGCACCCTCTGAGGGACATATAGTGCTACAGGTGACGTACAGCACCGGGCACCCTACGAGGGACGCACGGTGCTGCAGGGGACGTACAGCGCCGGGCACCCTCTGAGGGACATATAGTGCTACAGGTGACGTACAGCACCGGGCACCCTACGAGGGACGCACGGTGCTGCAGGGGACGTACAGCGCCGGGCACCCTCTGAGGGACATATAGTGCTACAGGTGACGTACAGCACCGGGCACCCTACGAGGGACGCACGGTGCTGCAGGGGACGTACAGCGCCGGGCACCCTCTGAGGGACATATAGTGCTACAGGTGACGTACAGCACCGGGCACCCTACGAGGGACGCACGGTGCTGCAGGGGACGTACAGCGCCGGGCACCCTCTGAGGGACATATAGTGCTACAGGTGACGTACAGCACCGGGCACCCTACGAGGGACGCACGGTGCTGCAGGGGACGTACAGCGCCGGGCACCCTCTGAGGGACATATAGTGCTACAGGTGACGTACAGCACCGGGCACCCTACGAGGGACGCACGGTGCTGCAGGGGACGTACAGCGCCGGGCACCCTCTGAGGGACATATAGTGCTACAGGTGACGTACAGCACCGGGCACCCTACGAGGGACGCACGGTGCTGCAGGGGACGTACAGCGCCGGGCACCCTCTGAGGGACATATAGTGCTACAGGTGACGTACAGCACCGGGCACCCTACGAGGGACGCACGGTGCTGCAGGGGACGTACAGCGCCGGGCACCCTCTGAGGGACATATAGTGCTACAGGTGACGTACAGCACCGGGCACCCTACGAGGGACGCACGGTGCTGCAGGGGACGTACAGCGCCGGGCACCCTCTGAGGGACATATAGTGCTACAGGTGACGTACAGCACCGGGCACCCTACGAGGGACGCACGGTGCTGCAGGGGACGTACAGCGCCGGGCACCCTCTGAGGGACATATAGTGCTACAGGTGACGTACAGCACCGGGCACCCTACGAGGGACGCACGGTGCTGCAGGGGACGTACAGCGCCGGGCACCCTCTGAGGGACCACGTTAACGCCCAGGTCCGGATGGCAGCAATTTTTCCCCCCGATTACACCATTAAGTGCACTTGTTTTGAGACCGTGGCATCAAGGTGCAGCCTTTTCCCCGTCTCCCCGGTGGCCCCAGGCAGCCGAATATTATCTTTCAATAAATAGGATTTGTACTTAATAGTCCCTTAGGAAAAAAAAAAAAAAGTTTCACCATAAAGGAAACAAAAATGAGCTGAAAAAAAATCCTTAGCGTTTCTGAAGAAATTCAGTCGATTGCCCCTCGTCAGTTCAGCGTGACCCAGTTAAGGCGGGAGGGCTTTGCACTCAAGGTCCGTTTGGGATAATAGGCGAAACTCTGCACTCCGTAGAAAAAATATTTCTCAGATATTTTCATTGGAAACCTATCTTTGCCTGAAGTTGTTTTTTTTTTTTTCTTTTCCCCATTTTAACTTTTTTTAAAAAAAAAAAGAAAAGCAGCTATAAACTCCACTAATTGATGGAATTAACAAACACCCAGTAACTGTATTCCTTTCAACTTTTGCAGTCACAATTTTAGTCTCTTTTTATTTGTGCCACACAAGCCACCAAAGCAGCTCTGCTGCCAAAGACTGCAGGAAAAAAAAAACCCAAAAAAGACTGGAAAAGAGACTTTTGAGGAACTTCCTGACCGTTCCCTGGCCCTTCGAGCTACAGGATGGCAGCGTGTGAGCGTTTCCCTGCCGTTCCTCCGCGCCCCCGGACAGCGAGCGGGGTTCAAACCGTCCTTGCAGAGGGCTGACAGTACAGTCGGACTTCGTTAACAAGGACCCAGCGGTGACAGTACAGTCGGACTTCGCTAACAAGGACCCAGCGGCAGCAGAGCGCGTGAAAACCTGCTGCTCTCCCCCGAAGAGGAGGAGCGGCACGCAACGAGGGATTTTGGATGCTTTCTTCCAGTAGCCCCCGCAGACCGAGTACCTGCCGCTGGCATCACCCGCGCTACATAGGGGGTTTTCCCCTTTTTTTCCCCTTCCCCCCCCCCACTATTTAAACTTGACAGAAGTGCGTACAGACTAAAACAAAACTCTCCTAAACCCTGTTTTAACTGCTGAGATTGTTGTTGTTACCGCAGGGGCCCCCCTTTCTAAAAGCACATCCAAAAATCAGAGCTAGGCACTCGCCAGCAGCCAGGAGCCGGGGAGACCACGCCGGCTCCGCTTCCCGGCCCCGGCTGGAGGCGACCAAAACCGAGACGGATCCCCGCCAAAACGAGGACAGAGCCCTTAACGCTGCTGCAGCGTCGCCTTCCCTCCTGAAGCTCCTCGCTCCTGCGGTAAATCCAACGTACTTCAAGCCCGTTTTCGGGGAGAGACTCGCTACCTTGCGTGTACTCCGAGATAAGAGCGCGCCCGCGCGAAGTCACCCTGCCGCAGCCTACTCCATCTAAGTAGCGGTGAATTGAATTGACTCGGGGGGGGGAAAAAAAAAAAAAAAAGCTGAAATGAAAAACGAGTTTAAACCGATGCAAGAATTGGGATAGTTGCAATCGGTCGCCAAGCAGCTTTGATCAAGACGCCTCCAAACCCCCACGCAAGGCGGGTTTCAAGCTGAGCCGACCCGAGCTGCTCGGGTGGGAGCCTCCGCAGCAGGCGTCGGCACCGCTTTAACGGCGGCCTTTCCTACCCGGCGAAGCTAGCGGCCCTCGAGCGCACGCTGGCACCCAGCTTTGCCCAAAGCCCACGAGAGCCGCGCGTTCATAACCCTGCGCGACCATCTCCTAGAGAAAAAGCCTGGATTTTTGTTTCTAGGCGGACATTAAACTGGTCAAACCTGCACGTTTGCACAAAGCCTTAGTGTATTAGGGAGAATAAGGCTTCAGGTGATATCGCAGTGTTAAGTACACTTCCACCTTCTCTGCCCCGCTCTCTCTTCCCTCCTCCCCGTAAAGGGCAGCGGGCAGGACCGCAACGGGAAGGAATTGCATAGTTTTGATGCCTTCTGAAAAAAACAAAAACGAGGGAACGTTGTAAAGCTCTGAATCGCCAGTAATAACTCGTGTTTTTATTTTCGCTAAACCTTGCTCTGTACAGGACTGGAACGAGGCTCGAGTCCAGTTCGGGGTCTAGAGTTACAAAAAACAGCAACCAACCAAAAAAAATAATAATAATAAATCTGTGCAAACATTGCAGTGCTAAAGTTACACGTCACCCTGCGAGACGGGAACGTTAAGTGTCCTGTTCATACTACGCTGCAGGGCTGGGGGGCAGGAGGGAACGTAGTGGACCGCCTAAAGTAAGTTACGTAGCTACGGGTTCGCTTTCCTTACCTTTCGCTCTTTAGCCCTATTATCAAAAATAGCTTTAATATTACTCAGTCTAAGGTCAGTTAACGGGGCTCAGCAAAATGGAGCCAAGTTAATTCTATTCAGCAGAACAGAGGTAGTACGGAAGGAGCTTGATCAAGTAGAAAGAGTTATCGCGCGCGCGTGCGTGCGTCCACGTACGCCTGTAAGCTATGGGCAGCCTGGGGGGGGCTTTACCTCCCAGCGCTGCCGGCTGCTCTCGGGCCTCGCTGCTTCTCCACGCCGATGGTTATTGCTGGCCGGAGACACTGACCTGGTTCCCGCACCGCTTCCCCAAGTCGGTCCGACGGTTTTCTCGGTTGCAGAACAGCTTCGCGCAGTACGGCTGTAGGAAAACTCAAAGCCGCTCAGCGCCGTGACCGCTCCCCCCCACCCCCCCAAAATGATCTTGTAAAATGCTTCCTGAAATCATTATGCTTAAGTCACTGCTCTATTCACTGCTAACATCAGCAAGAACATTAAAATGGGGAAAAAAAAATATATATATATATATATGTATATTTATATACTAAGAACAGTGTTAAAAATCTCTCGATTAAAAGGTCTGCGGCTTTCAAGCTGAAACTGCTGGGGGCGTTTCCGCTCATCCTGGAAAAGCGATATTAAATTAGGTTACGCTGGAACCCAGCGGAGAGGACCCGGCAGGCTGCTGCTCCCTGTTTGCCGTATCGGAAAGCTTTGGTCTGGTTTATTAGATCATTTTGAAGAATCCCCCCTTTCCACCACGCGCTCCAACCTGAGCGGGCCTTCCACCGCGGCCGGCTGATCCTCCTAGTCACCCTGGGCCAGGAGCAGCCCGTTTAAAAGCATCCTGCTTCCCTCTTCCAGAGTCGCCGGGAGGGAGGGTTTGGGATTCCCACCCTCCCGGGAAACGGATCACCTCCGCGGCACAACAGCGGGGCAGTCGCGTCCGTCAGCCCCCTCCAGCCGCACGCCCGTTCCCCCGGCGGGGAGGGGAGCGGGGCGGGGGGGGGAAGGAAAAAAAAAACAAAAAACCCCAAAAACCTCTATTATTGCATTCCCCATGTTTCATGGGTCCGAACGTCACCACCGCCGGGGCGGCCGCCTCAGAACCTGTGCACCAGCGCCTCCCGCTCCCTCTCTTTGCGTTTCAGTTCCTCTTTGTAACAGCAGGAGCAGAAATTCCCAGTCTCCGGATGCCCGTAAAAACTGCAGTTCGGCTGCTTGCATTTGGTCTGCTGAACGCTATAAAGCGCTCGCCCTCTGTTTTTGTCCGCGCTCGCGCCTTTCTGCGAGCCGTCCTGCTCCGGGTATTCCCTGTAGCCGTTGCTGTGCGGCGGGAGGCACGACGGGCCGTCGCACTCCACCGGGAAATTGGGGTGTACGTCCATGTCCGGGGGGGAGAATCTGCCCACGTGGGAAGGGCTGGTTTGGCAGGGGATCGGCCGGGCCTGGGCGCAATGTCTGGGTAAGGTGGCGTAGGGAGGCAGTCTGCTGCAGGACCCCCCAGCTACCTGCCGCCGCGCGTCTTGGTAGCTGGGAGGGTGGGAGCCCTCCACGCTGCTGACCATAGAGGGCCTGGGAAAGGTGAAGACGCCCGAATAGCTGGAGGGAAAAGCTGCCATTTTAGCGCCTATTGCTAGATCCGGGGTCTGGATGGCGTAAGAAGGGGGAGGCTGGGGGTAAGCAGGGTTTAGCAGCCCTTCCTCGCCCTTGTGCGCGTTCACCTCCGGCTCCAGCTTCTTGGCGGGGGCGGCGTTGCCCAGCGCCTTCTTCTCCGCCTCCTTCTGTTTCTGTTCAGCCAAAAAACGCTCCTCGGCATCCAAAAGGTACCTCTGGATCATCTCCTCCTGGTACTGGTGCCGGTTGCTGGTCTTGAGGTGGCCGGCGAAGATGAACTTGCGCTCTCCCTGCATGGCCGCCCGGAGGATGCTCAGGCTCAGCCTGACGTCGTGGCTGTATTTGTAGGGATCTGCCTGCTTCTCGGGGGCTGCTTTACCTGGGCAGGTTTTCTCCACAGGAGCCGACAAATCTACTTGGGAAGACTCTTCTTTGCTGCCTTTCCTTGACTTTAAGGATCCTTTCTTCTTCTTCTCCAAGGTTTCTCCCTGCCCATTGCTCACGCCTCCCTTGATAGTTTTGCTGTGCATTAACCCACCCATGTTCTTTTTTAGCTTACTTCCTAAAGTCTTGCCGAAGCTGCCCAGCTTGTTAGCAACCGAGTCTGCCCGTTTTTTGTCCTTCTCCTTGTCCTTTTCTCGGTCTTTCTTTGGCTTCTCTTTGTCCTTGCAACCCCTGCTGCCACCGTTGCTTGCCGAACTACTGCAGACCGACTCCTTGTCGGACTCGCCCGACTCTGCGGCCGAACGAGCATCGTCTCCGGCAGAGGCTGTAGGTGATTCTGGCTGGGCCAAAGGCGCCTAAGGAGAAAGAAAACACCTCTCTGAGGAACTTATTTGCTTTTTGATAACGGTCTTCAGGCTGAAGGTGGAACGGACAAGCAAATGCTTGCTAGAACAAAGGGGACTATGTGCAACAAGAGCTGGCTCTCAGATCTGGAGTTATTTCATCTCGGGAGTTTCTGCAGCACAAGCGATTGACCCACAGGATTAAACATAACCCTGATCACTCCTGCCTAACCGAGGCTCCCAGCAGCGGTCCTGCACTGCAGCGTTCCTGTGCTTAAATCTGTTAAGTGCCACACTTTTAATGGTGAAAGCTAGATCTTAATGAGGTACATGAGGGTGTGCTACTAGTGAAAAGGAGGTCCAAAAACTTCCCCCTCTGGTCACCCCCAGACGCTGGCATGGTGTGGCACGGAGAAGTGGGATGGGGAGGTGTCACAACATACGTAAGCAACACATGAGATAGCAGGTAGCCAGTTAAGGAGGTCATTTAACCAAAACAGCATCGTTTGAGCTTTGCTAGAGGTGACACCTTGACAGTGTCAGACAGACCAGAGCGGCTCCCACAGCAGTTCGGGGAGTTTCTTCCTCAACGGGGCGGGGGGGAGAAAAAAAATTCAACCCTGGCAGTCTAAGCAACCCAGCTGCTGTTAAGGCAGCTGTCATGACCCTACAAGCGAGTCCTGCTCGTGAAAGGTCCCAGGAAAATTACAGTCAAATCATGTCTCCCAAGTCAGCTTCTGGTGGCTGAAAAATCAACAGTTCAATGTTTGTCTTGGAACAGGCAGCAGTCATATTCGCTGCCAGACACCTACACAACCGGCCCGCGTCGCGCAGCAGGACGTACGAGGGCTCTGCGCCACGAATTCACTTTAAGAGTAAAAACAGGCATGAAAAGCTCTACAAAACAAGTGTAGGCACACAACAGAAGTTGCTTATCTGCTCAGAGCAGCATTACCCGCGATTTCTAATGGCAGCACAGACAAGCTTACATGAAGGAGAGCGCATGAGATGACGACTTCACTTCTGCTGCCCTATGCAGAAAGGAGGCTTAAATAATTTAAAAAAGTAAAGGAAATACTCCTCGTTTCTTTACCTGCGTGTCACAAGGCAAGGTGATCCATTTAACATTCATGTAGCTGTGCAGCAAGTGCAGCTTTGCTTCCAGTGACAATGTCACGCTAAAACAAAACAAGCATAACAAAGTCATAGCAAAGGTTTATTTTAATAGCTGAGGTTCTTTTTTTCCATATTTATAGAGTTAATTGCTCACTGTCTTTAAGCTAAAAAGCACATTTTAACAGAAAAGGTAAAACCGTATCAAGACGGCAGCAGTACAAAATCAATTTGAGATCTTTCCAGTATTCTAGCTCAGCTTCAGCAGCCTGCAGAACACACGCGGGTCCATTCCCACCTACAGGAGAAAGGGAGCTGTGTCGATCTACAGCGTGCAAAGGAGCAGCTTCCTCCGAAATTAATAAATCGCTTAACAGATCCTGAGGAAGCGAGGATTAAGTTACAGTGAGCGTACAAATGCACAGCTAAAGAACAAGCGTATCATGCTGTTAATTATTCAGAGAAGTTCTGTCTCTTAAACAGATAGAAATTGAAAGGCCAGAGAGTCAAATACAGGACCACATTTGTATTATGTGCTTTAAAATGCAACTAGGTTAATCTTCTCCACTAGAACCTTAAAAACAAGCTAATTTAGACTTCCAGAATTGCATGAAAGAGAATTACAGAACAGAGCTTTTTTTCCAAATGCAGACGCAAGACTAAATTATAAGATAATGTTTTCGCAGCCTTCCAAATCTTTCAATTAAAAAAAAAAAACCGTAAATGAGACTATTCCTGTATATCAGAATTAAGTTTGCTTAAAATTAACTCTGAAAATTATCTTCTCTGCACATGAGACAAATAACAAAAAAACCCGATGTCACAGATCTAAATAGAGGTAGTTTCAAAATGATTTTTCCTCTCCACAAAAACAACTTCAGAAAAAAAATAAAGATGTTTTCTCAAAAAAATTTCTGCTTCGTCAAAAAAAAAAAAAAGTTATTTCCACTAACAACACCCGGACAGAACATCTACTATTGGCTCCAAAACCTCAGAATGAGATATCTGTACCACATAACACAGCATCTGTAAGACCTGCGCTCCATTTTAATGCTTTGATCTTAGAGGCTTCTACATTTCCTACCCCCAAGTCATATGACGGACCAGTCACACTTCCAGCTCCCTGACCACTACACCCACTACTGCTAACTCCTGGCTCAATAACAGGAAACTAGCTAGCACCAAACCATGACACGGCCTGCCCATAGTCTGAGTCAAAAATAGGCACGGTGTCTACAAGCCGCCCTGCCAGGTCCAGGGGCCCCGTTCAAAGGTATTTGCTATCCAAGTTCCTACTGGTTACAGTGAGGACAAAGGCATGAAAAAAAAAAACCCATCTTTTTGTGAATACAGGCTCCGTTACTTCTCACTTATGATCCAAGTCTAGTGTGAAACTCTAGCATCTGGAGTGATCACATCTTTACCTTGCTCAAAGGATTTTAGCATTTAACAAAACGTCCAAAAGATCGGGAAAGAAAGAAGTAAAACGTGTTTCATCCCCACCGAATAGCTTCATACGCCGAGTACAAATCGCCAGACGCAAGAAACGCCCCGTGTCCGGGAGCGGCTGGGGATAAAGCGCTGAACTGCCCAGCTCTGACCGTCCCGGTTGCCAGTGAACTAACCTGGCCAGTTTGACGTTGTCACTGTCGTCTTTCCCCCACTGCCATTCCTTCCCAGGATCCACGGCAAAGTGCACGGGCAGCAGCTTGTGTTCAGAGTCCGTCAGGGGGATCACAGCTGCAAAAGGAAGAGGACGGAAAGCCCCCTTAAAGCCCGAAAGGCAACATTCGGCACGCTACGCAGAAGTGACAGAGCCTGCCACTTGTACGCTACGTCTCTCATCAGTAACCAGAACTTGATGCAGAAACCTGATGTCTATCCGGAGCACGCTCCCCACAGGAATTAAGCTTTCCTTGTGTCGCCCCGTTCCTCCAGCCTGCCTAACCCCTGCGACGAGGCAACCTTTCACGTCGGCGAGAGCGTCAGCCAAGCTCTGAGCGCTTCGCCAGGAACAACGCTGGTGCTGGTGGTCACTGTTGTCACACCAGATCACGCGCAAGCCAGCGACTGCCAACGTCTGTGAGCTAAATCACTACTCTTGTCTATCACCTACCTTGATCTTTCGTGGGCTCCTTCTGCTCCATGGATACCAGGGCAGAAAAATGGGCTTGATCGTACGCCAGAACCAATGGAGAACGATGGCATTTGTTGGCTGGAACTTCGAGGGGAAGATAGATACCTCCAAAGGGAATAGGTGCAAAGGCTGGAAAGAATTCAGCAAAATTAAGTTTTTCAAAAAGAGGGGAAAGAATTGTTCATACTGAAACTGCTGCTCCAGAACAAGCTGGCGTGTTTCACTTCGAGGTTTTACCCGTAATTATCTATTAATTTGAGGGAGGGGGTCAAAAAAAAAAATAAAGCCCCGAAGTAGACATTTATTTTAAAGCAGGAAGCACACAGTTGCAAAATTAACTTCATTTTCTGTAAAGCTCTTCTTTACTCCTACACAAAACAACTTAAATTTGCACACAGAATGATGGTAATTGATTAATTTTTTCTGACAGGAAATTAAGTCGGCTAGCGGAAAATTCTGTATGCAGGGAACGGAATTTCCCTTCTACACACACACGTGAAGGCAAAAAGGACAGAAAAAAACATCAAGTGTATGCTCTTAGAGAGTATCGGACTACAACGCTTAGATGTACGTCTCACCCAGGCATACAGAGCAGGAGCTCAGCGCACCCCTTGCTCTATGGTTGGATTCAAGATCCAACATCATGAGGCAAAAAGGCCCCCACAAAACTGCAAAAAGGAGGAAATGTGCATTTTGAGCATGTACAATAAAGACAAAAGCTCCTCGCCAGTGGAGTGGAAGAGAGCGCAATTCGGTGCAACTTACCTTCTCCCCCTGAGTCTCGCAGCATAGTGTCTGCCACTACCACTATGGGTCTCTTCAACACGTGGGCAAGGACAAAAACATGAAACTCCTCCAGGCTCTCGTACACTGGCTCTTCAGAGCTTTCAACGCTTTGGAAAATAATAAAGAAACGTGATCTGACTTGCATCCCTTGCGTATTTAACCATCACTTTTAAAAACGGGAAAGGAAGAAGTCTTCACAGGCAGCCGTATAAAAGCAGATCATATTAACAGCATTAAGTCTGATCTCATCTCTAATTTGAGATTTTAAATGTAGATCCTCAAATCTCCTGTCCTAAGGCAATGGATTGTTTCCAGGAAATACCGTCTTGCTACTTGGCACTTCTGGGAGTCTCTTATCTAAAGAGCCTCCAAAGTGGTGTTTGTTTGCGATGGCTGCAGTGATAAAACGCCCTTGAAACACGGAGTGAGAGAAAAAACTGCAGAACTTCCCAGCTTTGGTACGTTGTTCTCATTTTGGAGCCCTCAACATGAAGAAAGGATCAGTTTTCTGTTCAATTCTCAAAAATGAGCATTCCCCCTTAAAAAGGGACATGCAGCATTTATGAAATGGTTTTCTGTAACACTTTATGTACTTCTCACTGTTTCTCATGATCTTTCATCCTTCTCCCTAAAAAATGTACAATGCAAATGGCACCAAATCAGTAATCCCCTCTGCTGGTCCCAGCCAGGTTCCTGGTCCTGGCCTTGAGAGTTATCCCAAATTGTCCATTTGAGAGAAGTATTCTTTAGAGTTTCATATCTGGATCCGTTTTTTCCCCCTCCCATGTTAATTATAACCACTTAGGACACCTCAGATAAAAGGCTGTGAAACCTTCCTGCCACTTCACACTTTTGCACGCCCCATCCGTGCGCGCACCTACCCTCCGCAGTTGCCTCCGTTTGTGCCGTAGTGGACGCGGGGCTCGCTGGACGCCAGCTTGATCAGCTCGTTCCACTCCTTCTGCCACTCCTCTTCCGTGTAAACAAGACCAGACTGGAAAAGGGTGGCAAATAAAACACAAGAAGCTTTTAAACCAATTTCTGGAGTGCATTTTTATATGCACAGGCACATCATTTCTCTATAGGCTTATGCAAAAAGAGTTAACGTTACGCAGAAAAGTATGCATTTCCAGATCAGTGCTGTAAAGCCAGCAGGGGAGATAATCTCATTAAAATGAGAGGTTGCATTTTTGTAGGTGGAAGTAAACATTTCAACCTACAGAATGAGAGCAAATCTTTACTGTATTACTAATCCTTCCAGTATTAAGGATTATCTATTCTATTGACTAGAGACAGTGGACTAGACGATAATTGGACTAATTAAAATACAGGTTTGCCTTTAGAAATTATTTTCCCTTCTTATTGAACTACAAAAAGATGCTTCATAACATCCAGAAGACTCAATAGAAGAGCTGCTTAGGTATTTTAACACGCTATCAATTATCCCAAGAGGTGCGGGACACATGGTATAGACAAGACTTATGACTAATTATAACGGCAGGATGGATTTTTCCAACAGTGCGATTCTCGTACAAACTGCAGTCAGATTGAACTGTTTATATTTTCAGTCTTTGCTAGTCCATGCACGCAGCAAATTTACGTTTTACTCACATTTTGTGAGTATAACGTCATGATTACAAAACGTCCCTCTGTAATCACATCACATGCAATATGAGACAGCACCGTAACACCCAGTCCCAACTAGTGCTCCACCAAGCAGGCGTTGCAAGGAAAACAGACACGAGGCACAGCCCTTTCCTCGAAATCATATGATGCTCTGAAGACATCCACTGTCCCATAGCAGTGTGCACACAGAAAATGCTACCTTTAGTACAACTATGCCACCTTAATCTAACACTCGTGCCAGAGCTCTTAAAGAATTGCACCTTTTCTTCTTAATGCAAAAGCTTTTCAAACAGCTTCCAATATAGTAATGAAGAACTGAGGTTAAAACGCATCAGAAGCCATATTAACCCCAAGCAAGGGGAAAAACATTTCAAAAAAAGGCTGTGCAAAACGCTATGCTCAATAGCATTTAAGGTCACGGGGCAACCTGATGAGAAATGGAACAGGACGGCCAGGCAGGCATTGCCCGCGTCCTCCTATCCCAGGCTCTGCAATCCGAGCTCCAGCATTCAACGCAACATCCCGAGTCCTCAGAGCTGCCAAGAAAACCTTAAAACCATGAACCAGAAGTCACTGATGTCACGTTCACCTCTCCGCTTGCTCAGTAAGGTATTAATTAAGCATCTCTGCTCTTGGGTATGTCGTCAGTAGGAGTTCTTTCATCACAGATCTAAGCTTGCAAAGGACGGAAGGAGAGCATTGCACCTGGAGTAGGTTGTACAAGTCAGAGCTATATCCACCACCCCAGGCCGCCTCTTCTCGAGTGAGTTTATTTGGCAAGGAAGAGCCAACTTCCAGCCAACCACTTCAACACTACCTGTAATACCAATTTAACCTGGACCGTTCCACCTGGCTGCAAGCACCACCTAAATCCCGCATCTCTCTCTAAAACCTTTCTGCTTGTGCTGAGGACTATCACAAGGGAATGACAGCATCACATCCTATATCCTAAATATTTTCAAGTCCTTTTAAGATCTTACAAGTTGCAGTATTCCACTGACAGCTTATTCTACAGATAGCCTTGACTATCAGTTTAAAGAGATGCTATTAAAAGCATGCTTTCGTGCAACAAAAACTCAAATTATTTAACTACTCACGTTGACACAGGGAAATATTTTTATCTAAAACTGCCAAGATATGAATCTCTCTGCCCTTCCAAAAATAAAAAGGAAGTCGGAAAGTAAACATCCTTCACTGTCAGGTGGAAACAAAGGCTTACTCTGCTCCCGAAAACATCGAAACACCAAGGGGCTGCATCGAGCAACGTGAGGACATCTGGTAACTTTCCACCTCGACAAACTCGCATCCTTGTCTGTGTCACAGCTTTAATGTGGTCAGTTCATGAACTTCCTTTTTCGGCGGCCAAGTCTGCTCTGCGTGCCGAATGAGGCACATCTTTCTGATTTTATCACAAGAGAGACCTACGCAACAGTCGGATGCGTTTCTCTCTTCAAAGCGTAGCGGAATGATTGCACCCTGGCACTACTGGCAACGTAGTCACAGTCTAGGCCGCAACAGGTCTTAATATGAAGTGCATGAAGGGGCAGTCACACGTGTTATCCACCAGCACTGGACATAACATGGTTGTAATAGAGGAATTTCCCTACCCTATAATAAAGGACATTTTGCCCAAGTTTCAAGGCCATAATTTAGACCCATGGATACTTCTCATCGTGGCAGAGCCAAGAGTCGCCCAAAATTCAAGACAAGGACTTTATCACAAGGGGATGCACCTCCCAGACGTATATAATATCGTGCTGAGGCTCCCTCCTCCGCTTCGAGGGCTGTTTGCAGTTGGGTTCCTACCTCCTTGTTCTGTTGCGTTTGCTGCCAGCGCCACCTCCGCTTCAGGGCTTCCCTTTCCACACCTTTATCCATTAAGGTATAGAGGGATTTGCGAAGCATGAGATCTCTATCGTGGAAACCCCACATACCTGCATGGAGGAAAAGAAAAAAATCCCCAGAGGATTAGCCATGGCTGGCATCGCTCCATCTTCTGCCATCTAACTGCTAAAGTCCTGGAAGCTCCTACAAACCAGGGGAACATTCACACCAGGAGATGAGTAAATCGGGAAACAAAGACCGAGAAATTTAAGTTCACCAAGCTAACAAATAAATAAATAAATCAAATCAAAGAGTATCAAACTCCAGGTTCCAACACTGCACGCTCCACCCGTAACAAATATTTACACAGCTAAAAGGAGAAGCTGCCACTTCTGCTTTCAACTATAACAAATATCACAGACGCAGCAAAACTTGTGAAAAAAAAAGAAAAAAAATCACGTGCTACTTTACATCAACTCTAGACTGATCCGTCTAGGGAAAACTAGGCCTGGTTAAACGAGACAATGGTTTCGCTGCTCCTGAACGCAGCTAGCCGCGCAGAGGAAATAGGCAGCTCTGCTGATTTCAGCCTCTAGAAACCTCAGAAAATTCACTGCAGCTACACTCAACAAGATGAAGTCCCCGGAGACTGAAGCTTGGGCTCTTAAAACCACTCTGGTTTGTGAGGCAGCCTTCAAATGCTCCATGAGCAAGAAGAGGGAATGGGTGGCTCTGTTATTTTACGCCTCCTTCAGGAACACAGGGAACCGTGCCAAAGGAGAGGCCCAAGCCAGAAAGAATAATTTTGGACCTACACGAGCTATTGGAAGGCCGTTTCCTTCGGCTCGCCCTCTCCCACCGAACGGGACGAGGACAATCGCTCGCGCGTCTCTCGCTCTCCCGAGACGGAGAAGGGAGCTGCACCTCTGCACGGCGCTGAGCGTCAGGCCGAAAGAGAAGCGGGCAGGATGGCTATTCCTGCAGCCGGGAACCGGAGCTCTTACCCAGGGAGGCGGCGTGCAGCAGGCAGTTCCCATCGCCAGTGGTGGCCAGAGGAAGGAGCCTTTGGCAGCTGGGGTCCACGGCGGTCCACCAGTTCAGGCGACCTGCGGGGATGTTTCAGAGGGTGAAAAGGTGAGAACATGAGCGGCGATGTATCCGTTCCGGGGCTGCAAGGAGTCCAGACAATAACAAAGCGACAGAAAGGGGAGACCGACGCGGGGACGGCAGGAAAAGGGCCCGGCTGCCCGGGAGGTAGCGGAGACGCGTCCGCGTTGCTGAGGACGACCCGGAGCAGCGCAGGGGCAGCTCTCAGCACGTCCCCAGCGTCCGCATCCGGGCCGCAGGAGACGGGGACACAGCGCAGAGCCAGCAGGGTTTTATCTTCCTGCCAGAAGGTGCGAACGCATATAATCGCCACGCAGGCTTTGATGTAAAGCCGCCTGCAAGACGCTCTACAAACAAAACACCTCCTACCAGGACACCTAAATGCTCTTTTACGAGCACCAACCCACCACCTCCGACTGCGCAGCACATGCTTCGCGTCAGCCTCGTTTCTTAGCAAAAACGGGCAGGCAACGCAAAGGGAATTAATTAAGGTCCTAAAAATTAAGGGGTAAAGCTGCAAATAGGAGCCAGCCCCAGCCAGGACTTTAATCAAGACCAGGCTCAAAACTCATCCCTAAGCGCCAGTGCCTGGCACACTGGGGGCCCAGCAACTTTTCCAGTTTCCCCGGCTAACGACGAGATTGCTTTTAGTTTCTTCTAGTAACCCAATCGTTCCTATTTAAAGCATCTCACGTGGGTGGTTTTTCCCCCTCCGCTCGCTAGTTTTAGGCGCGATACTCGGGAAGACGCGCTGATCCCGCTAGCTAAGCGGCTCTACCCAGGACACTACAAACCGACAGCGCTTTCCAGCGTTGGCACACAGCAGCTTTTGGTAACGTAAGGCACCTGAACCGCTACAAATCAAGACAGAAGGTTTTCAGATCATCTAAAAATAGGAACCGGGAAAAATTAACACGCACTGGAGCCAAGTACAGCGCAAACACAAGTTAAACATTGACCAAGGAAACGCAGTTTAAAGTTGCACTGCATCGAGGCTTAGCCCTTACAACTGCAGCCGGCCTCGGACAGGACTAACACGCTCCCAAAAACCTGCCCGGCCTGCCGCGGCTGGGGCCGTTTCCGCCGGCTTTTTTGCGGCGGAGCCGCCGGGCGGTCGGGCCAGCGTCACTCCGCTCGGGCTTCGCGCAAGGCGCGCCGTTTTGAAGCGCTCCCCTCGGGAAGCCAGCGCTTTCCCAGCGTTGTCAATGAACGTCCCCGGTTCGTAGGGGCGCTCGCCGCCCGGGACCCCACGCCGGCGAGGAGCGCAGGGTTTCTTGAAACGGTTCGCGCCAAGCCTGGCGCTAAATTCAGAAAACTCACGTTAAGCGCTGCTTAAGAGAGAAGCAAGGGGAAAAAGAAAAAAAAAAAAACCCATAAGATGCGGCATTAACTGCAACCCGACGCTGGCAATTTCTTCCCTCAGCGACAGGAAAGGAACCCGCTGGAGTTGAAAAGCGTTTAGGACGCAGTCCCGAGGCGATAGCTCCGCTTGGAAAAGCGGGCTGTTTTCAGGCAACGCAGCTTCTGGCAGAGCAAAGTCGCAAACCTTCGCCAAGTGGAACGGTGCCAGGGGAGCAAAGCGAGAAGCAAAAGCATCTAAGAAAAGCTAAACAGAACGTAACGCTACTGTAGACAGCGCCGAGCTTTTTTCTTTTTTTTTTTTAAATCCCCTTTCACGTTTTTCTCCTCGACGATTTGCTGCTCTTTTCACGACCCAACTCGGGAGTCTGAGGGAGCCCTCGTCCCAGGTCAGGTTTGCTGCACGGCTGGTCAGCACTTAAAAAGGTTGTGCAACCTCTTAACCAAGCAAAGCCAGGTCCACCTCGGAGGACACACCTCGGGGAGGCATTTCTATTTGCAGCGCGCGGGCACGACGTGCTGCGCGCGGAGCAATTTGTACAGATTTCCACGCGTGCCAAGTTTCGCAAGAGAGGTCACCTCAGCTTCGTTCCCTCAAAAGAAAGCGCGTTCCCCAAAGCCTTTTCTGAACGTTTTGCTTGTATCAGGGCACTAGAAGGGCCAAGAGGCCCCCTCGAAGTATTTAGAGCAACATAGTCCTCCGCACGCGCTTATTAGGAGCGAGTCCTGACCGCTCTGCATGCGGCCCTAAGAGCAAACGAATTGCATTCGAAAGGAGCACCTTCTAACAGGGACTGTCCAAACGGGTCACACAAATAGGAAGGAGCAGGCAACGACGACGTTCCTCCTAGGCCAGCGGTGAGGACTGACTCTCAGTAAAGAAATCAAATGGCCTCCCTAAGGCTACAAGGGAATCCAGGGCCTTAATTACAAGGCCTTCCCCTTTCCGCGTGACGAAGGCGAGCGCTCTCAGGAATGACTCGTCCTCCTGCTCCTCAGGCCGACGTGACAGATGGACCATTAACACCCACCACTACATTTGTTCGGTTATTGCAGAACGCACTTTTCCCCCTGCTGAATCACTGGGTGGAGATGAGCGAGTAGGATCCCAGCCTAGGAGGAGGTTAAGAGACAGACCAAAAAAGGAGAAGAGCAGTTAGAAAGAGTGGTATCTATGGCGAGGCAAGTTCATTTATTATCTCTAAAATTAGATAAAGTCATCTCCGTTCTCCTTATCTAATTTTGAGCCCATCTCCTCCACAAAAACAGTCCCTTGCTGAGAAGGTTTTTGTTGCAAAGCCTGGCAGCTGCAAGAGCGTGTTCGAACGTATTTTCGCCCCTGTAGCTACTTCCTCCCCGAACAGCAAGTTGTACTCGGTATTTCAGGAAGCGTGAGAACTCGAGGCTTACCCACGCGTTCCACCTAACCGGGCTACGGCACGGCACGACCCGCGGCAGCCACAGCGCGTGCCCCCCGCAGAGCTCGAGCCTCCCTCCTCAGCTCCGATCCCAGCGGTCGGGGACACTTCCGCCTCCGGCGCCTGCCCAAATTCCTGGGCTCGCTGCTGGGAACGACGGCGGAGGGGCCCAAGACGTTACAAACGCAAGGGTGGTTTTGCACCGCAGGCACCTGCCCAGTGGGAAGAGAGCCTGCGCAGCCCATTACAAATCTCCCGAGAGCGTTTCACGAGCCTTTGGAGGTAACGTGGAACCAGACGTGACCTTCCTATTAAGGAAGCCAGTCCAGCCAATGACTTATGGGCTAAAATATTTGCAGAAGCTTTGCACGTCGGACGCCAGACACGTAATTCAGAGGGGGGTACGTGTATACACACGTGCCTCCGGTCACGCATGGAGCGAACGTGGGTCAGAAAGCTTCTCGAAAGCAGGGTGATACATTACCGAGTCAGGGACAGACGTGCACTGATTTCTGTGATTACCCACTCCCCAGACGCGGGACACTGACGTTCCAAGAACGAGGAACTCGTTTGCTGTTCGCCGCGCCAGCGGTGAAGCAAGCATTCGGGAAAGAGAGAGGCTGAATTCTTAACTCAGCAGTTTTTACTAGTCCACCCCCAGACGTTTATTCCAGCACCGCAGTCTGAAGTGCTACGCAAAGGAAGCGGAAGTTTTCTTGCCAACATGCCGAGGGGCTTTTTCAAGGCGTACTTTGCTGTACTGACCCCCGGGAAGAAAGCGTGACCCTGGAGCAAAGGTGCAGGAATCAAACCTAGGGCTGGCTTCCAACTCCTCCCGGTTTTCGCAGTAGCCTTGGGCAAGACACTGCCTGCTGCTTCTCCACGTGTGCAACGAGAAAAAACACTCTGCACTGTCAAAACACAGGGCAAGGCTTAACCCATTTAGGTTTGTAACAGAAAGCTATGGTAGTAGTTGGGGCCAAATTCTCAGTTCCACTAAGGCCTTTTCAGACAATTCTGAGCACGTTAAAAGCTTTCCAAGTGGATGCCGTTACAATTTACAATCGCTTTAAAGCTTGCTTACTCTGCCACAGTGGTGTAAAGGGATCTTTGAATAGAGGATCTTAACATTTATTGGTCTATAAAATGCTTGCTTAATCCCCTAAGGACAGCACATACTAAATTAATAAGAGAAGTCATCGCAGATCACAGCATCACACTCAAAACCCGAATTCAAATTAAGCTTGGAATATTTTATATATGCAGTACAGCCCTTTAATAAAAGATAAACATTCATTTATAACAAGCCCACATACATAATGCAGATTCGCTTTGTCTTCAAAAGACACGTTATAAAAATCAATTACTTAACGTTAACATCATCTTGGCACGTGGGTAGAGGAAAAAAAAAAAAAAATCAGAGCCAAGAGGCCTGATCCACCTGCTGCGGAGGCAGCGGGAATCCACTGCCTGCCTTGTAACAGTGCAAACCTCCTCCTCCAAGCTCACAGACATCCCCGTTAGACATGTAACATGCTTCAAGTACATAAAACTTAAAAAGCAGTCACATGAATTACATTCTTTAAAAGTACTCAGATCTATACCAAAAAACGAGATTCTAATCACCCAAAAGCACCTGTACTTCTCTAAAACAGAGCTTGTGCTGAAACACAGCAATCCAATACCCTGCCTGGCCTCTGGAGAGATGTAGGCAAGTATGTTTTATTTGCATCAGACAGGATGGCTTCACTGTCGATGAACAGCACCATCACTGTAACAAGATCACTTGGATCAGGTGCTAATTTCCAAAACATGAGAATATTTATTACAGGAACACTTGAGCAGGCTAGGGCTAAAATTTGACATTAAGAATATGCCTTATCTTATGAGGAATAGCCTTCTAGATATGTGCATTGGTGACAGAAAACAAAGGAGAGGTGGAAGGGCTACGGAGATCTTGCCAGTGGTGCTTCTTCCCTGGCCCCGTTCCAACTGTTAGCTGTCCTGATAATATGTATTAGCTTGTTCTCTGCCAGCACGGAGGTCCCATTCATGCACGGGCCAAACCTTACTTACAGATCACATAGCAACTATTCAGGAGGAAAACAGTATGTTGGAAAACAAATACATCTGCACTCCTAAGGTGGTTTCTCTGCAGGCAAACAGAAAGTCAGCGGACGAGTTTTGCTGCACTGAAGCGGCAAGCATATAAAAAAGCATCATGACTCTAAAATATCTGTAATCACTTCTAACACTTTTTTTCCCAGTGGTGATCAGCTACCGTATGTGTTATGCAATAATTTCCCCCTGACTTCTCTCAGTAACGCTGAAGAGATAGGGAATCTTAGTTGGTAAGATAATGCAACTTTTTTTTTTTTTTGGAGTGTTACCATTCAGCTGTATGAGAGATGACAACATATATAATTTACATTCACTGTCTGCAGGCAAAACGAAGCAGACTCTTACTCAACTCTTGCACCATGCTATAAAAAGGATGGAATAATACCTATCGCAGACACACATCCCTGTAACGCGCTCAGTTCTCTGTAGCCTGAGGCCTGGACTCCAGCATTTTCAAGTGCCACCGTGCAAACTGCTGCCACTGCACCGTTTTAGCATTAAAAAAAAAAAACAAACCCAAAACAAAAAACAAAACAAATCAACACACACCTCTCAGGGCAACACTTACCAGCCTGCTCCAACGCCACCAGCATTGACTGCTCAATGAGGTCACGCTCGATGAAGCTGCGAAATTCCTCGGTGTATACGGTGAGATCGGGCAACTGGAAAGTGCAAATCGGCATCTCCAGCAGATGTTCGCTGCTGCCATTGCTGGAGACGTGGGAACGGGCCAGAGAGACGATGGTAGAGCTGGCGTGGGAAATGCCTCGAGACAGGCGTTTTTCTGCGAGGAAAAGGAAGATGAAAAACACCCGAACTGTGCAGAGGCGACACGCGCACTTCCTCAAGAGCAGAAGGGGCAAAGCTCCCCAAAGTGAGCTGTTTCTTAAATCACTGCTGCCAGCTGGTGCTTCTTGGCTGAAGAATCTAAATTGCTCCAGCGTATAAATATTTCAGACTCCAGAAGGAAGACTTACTCGACGCGTATCGTTTCCGTGACGTGGCTACCCGGCAGGCGACACTTACCTTGCACGATATCATCCTGCCGCTGGAGCGGTGGTCGCGCAGGTCTCACAGCCTCCTTTTCGGGGGCTTTATAGTTGCGTCCTTCATTGAAGGAATGCGGCAAGTTCCCGGCATGCACTTGCCTTAGCTGTTCAAAGTCACTCAGGGCTGCGCTCAGATCCCAATTTTTACCTGCGTTGGAAAGTATAAACAGGAGATCACCATCACACGGGAGAAAAAATCAGCCAGTTCCTAAAACTGATTAAATCCATATTAGAAACTGATCTTTTTTAAAAAAAAAAAAAAAGTTGCATCTACAGACACAGGTTATACGGCTGGTTTACACGCGCTTGTGCGTGCAGTAGGCACATCCAGAGCTTAGAGGGAGCTACTGCTCTTGTACGCTGGACATCTGCAAATCCTAAAACAAGGGTCCAAAGACCTCGGATTTTGCCAGAACAAGATTTCGGGCTGCAAAACGAAGAGCAGGGTCACCTCAACGGTATATCCACTAAGCACAGAACAGGGAACCGAAGGAAAACAAACACCACTTTACCCTTAGGAAAGGGAAATCAAAGGGCGGCCTGCGTTGTGTCCACCAGCATCTGTGCAAGCTGAACGGCCAACCGCTTCAGGTCACGCTCGCGCTTTGTTTTTATAAGCTGCTTCAACTGCGTTTAATACGATCCAGCAAGATGCAAACCCCACGTCGCCGCTGACAAAGGTAACAGCCGACAGCTCTCTATATCCCCTGCACCACCGCGGGATAACGCTCGAGAGAAAACGCGTGTGATAAAGCACAACTTCCAGAGTTGATGTCTTAAAAATCAGACATTTTAAATCTGAGCCTGGTTTAAGAAATAGCTACCCAATTCTTTTCGAGTTGACACTCGAAATATGAAAGCAAGCAAGCTGCCAGCCAGGCTAGTCAGCAGCTATACCACTTTACAGCCGGCCTGTGCCGTTAGTAGCCAAATAAATTTTTCAGCAAAACAGCTTGAACTCAGTGGAGTTGCGTGAATCCTTTGCACTTCTTTTTCATACTCCCCAGCAAGCTGAAAGAACATAATATATATTAATACACTGCAGTCTTTCAGTATGCAATAAATTGACCTTTTAGAAGACACTGTCTTCTAAAGGCAAGAATATATAGCAAGGAAAGCCTACCATATGGCTTATATTTGGGAAAATCGTGATTTTTATGAACGCTGTTAATCTGGACTCTTAAATTAGGAAGTGAGCAGACAGCGTAGAAAGAAAGCCAACTTTATATATAGTAACTCCACTACAGGAAAGATATATAAACTGCCAATTGGTTTATATGATAGTTCGTGGACAATAAAAGAAGCCATCATGTCTAATTTCCAAACGGAAATGTGCTTTTCAAGTATTTAAATTCCATTGAGAGATGTAATTTGCAGCATTTAATGGCTGACTACGAACGGAAAGTTATTTTAAGGTTTACCTTTTTAAGTTTTTCTTTTTTTTTTAAATGAAACAATGAATCAGGATCAAGGAATGCAAATGACCTATCAGACTAAAATTAAATTTGCTGTCACATCCGTACGTGCCTCAACGTGTAAGGCGACAGGAGGACACGCTAGTAAGGCCGACCTACGGCAGATGTATTTACCTCCCATCTTCACCAGCAGCTGTTGCAGAAATTGGG